CTAAAGGCTACTTGGTCATGGAGATGAAGTCGTCATCTACCACATTCACCAGCACATAAGATATACAACATATAGCACTTATATAGATATATAGCATATAAAGCTGTGTATAACATATATAGCTTTCCAAGGGTAACTTTTTGTGGAAAAATATTTAAAACTTTTCATCACATGTGATTTATAGGCATAAATTTGGTTTTAAACTTTCTAAATTTTTTTTAATTGCAGAAAACCATTTTGTTCCTATAAGAACAGTATATGGGAGCTAAAATGAGACAATGGGCTAGATGCATGGCTCACACCTGTAATTCCATCAATTTTGGACTCCTGGATGGGAGAATCACTTGAATCCAGGAGTTCAAGACCAGCTTGGGCAACATAGTGAGTCCTCATTTCTACAAAACATCAAAAAATTAGCCAGGCATGGTGGCGCTTGCCCAGTCCCAGCTACTGAGGCTGAGGTGGGGAGGTCAAGGCTGCAGGGTGAGCTGTGATCATGCCACTGCACTCAAGTCTGGGCAATAGAGCTTCCTGACTCAAACAAAAACAAAAAACAAAAAAAAGAGAGAGGATCTTTTTAAGTTGACCTCATTATAGGCAGACTGGATGTGGAACAGTTTTTGTATATGTTTAGGCACGAGATGCTGGTGCCTTGATTTGATTTTACTAAGAGGTTGTGAATCCTCCTGTTTGTCAAACCATATTAATCTATCCAAATACATAATACCAAATATCTGTGTTTAGGGAAGTTTAGGTCTTTGCCAGTGAACAGAATCACAACCTTGCCATCTTTAATCAGAAGCCTGGTTAAGAAGGGTAGTCACAGAGGATTGCCTGAAGGATATATAGTCTACTCATTCCTACAAATGTTTAGCTTCTATTGTATTTTTCTTTTCTTTTTTTTTTTGTTATATCAATATTTTTTATTTTGATATTGTGGGGCACAGTCAAGGGTTAGGTACACAACTATTGTATTTTTCTAGACCAAAAGAGAGTCACCTGTAATCCCGCACCCTTGGGAGGCTGAGGTGAGTGGATTGCCTGAGCCCGTGGGTTTGAGACCTGCCTGGGCAACTTGGCGAGACCTCATCTCTACAATAAATCAAAAAATTAGCTGGGCATGGTAGCGCGCACCTGTAATTCCAGCTACTTGGAAGACTGAGGTGGAAGGATCGCCGGAGCCCAGCAGGTTGAGGCTGCGGTGGCCGGGAGCGACCACTACACTCCAGTCTGGGGACAGAGTGAGTGAGACTCCGACTCAAAAAAAAAAAAAGAGAGTCACGACCTGGACCATGCTCCTCCAGCATCTTGCTGACCTGTATTTCCTACCAGGTAACCTAACTCTGGGCCCCTATTGAAAGCAGGATAAGAGGAATTCTTCAAAACCTTCTACGTGTTATATAAATATTTTGAGAATCTAATTTCTGAATACATAACTTCCACTTCCTAAAATTTTACTTAAAGCTTTAGCACCAGAAAAAAGTGTTTTCCTAACTGTAAATTTTTACTTTTTAAAATTAAAATTGTATATTTTTAAGGTATACAACATGATGCTTTGATATAGTAAACTACAGTCATGCTAACTTACCATCTCTTTGCAGTTACCATATCTTTTGTGTGTGGTGAGAACACTTGAGATCTACTCCCATAGTATTTCAAATATACATTATTATTAGCAATAGTCCCCATGCTGTACATTTAATCTCTAGAACTTATTCATCCTATATAACTGAAGCTTTGTACCCTTTGGCAAATATCTCCCCATGACCTTTACCCCTAGTAACTACTATTCTCCTTTTGCTTCCATGAACTTGGCTTATTTTAGATTCCACATATGAGATCATGCAGAACTTTTCCTGTGTCTTGCTTATTTCACTTAGCACAATGTCCTCCAAGTTCACCCATGCTGTCCCAGGTGGTGTGATTTCCATCTTTTAAAAGCCTTACTAGTATCCCATTGTGGGTGTTTATCCGTTCTTTATGCATTCATACATACATCTATGGACATTTAGGTTGTTACCATTAATTTGGTTATTGTGAATAAAACTGGTAGTGATCATGCAAACGCAAATATCTCTTCCAGATATTGATTTCATTTCCTTTGTATATATACCCAGAAGTGGGACTGCTGGATCATATGATAGTTCTATTTTTAATTTTTTGAGGAACCTCCACACTATTCCATATGGAATAGTGTACCAATTTACACTCCCACCAACAGGTGTATGTGTTCCCAATTCTCCACATCCGTATTAACACTTAGCTTTGTCTTTTTATAAAAGCCATCTTAATAAGTATGAGGTGGTATCTCCTTGCCGTTTTGATTTACGTTTCCCTGATGATTCGTGAAGTTGAGCATCTTTTCATATACTTATTGGCTATCAGTACGTCTTCTTTAGAAAAAAATTTCTATTCAAGTCCTTTGCCAATTTTCAATGAGTTTTAGGGTTTTTTTTTTTTTTTTCTGTTGAGTTGTGTAAGTTTCTTGTATACATATTTTGGATATTAACCCATGATCAGATACATAGTATGCAAGTATTTGCTCCCAATCCATAGATTGCCTTTTCATTTTGTTGACTGTTTCCTTTGCTGTACAGAAGCGTTTTAGTTTGATATAATCCCACTTCTTTTGCTTTTGTTGCCTGTGCTTTTGGTGTCATAGCCAAATAATCAATGCTAAGACCAATGCCAAGAAGTGTCTCCTCCTGTTTTCTTCTAGTTTTATGGTTTCTTGTTTTATATTTGTCTTTAATTCATATTGAGTTGATTTCTGTATGTGGTGTAAGATAAGAGTTCAATTCCTTTTTTTGTGTGTGAACATCCAGTTTTCCTAACAGCACTTATTGAAGAGAATATCCTTTCTCTGTTGTGTATTGTTGGCACTCTTGTCAAAAATTAGTTGATGGTATATGTGGGGGTTTGTTTCTGGACTCTTTTCTGTTCCATTGGTCTGTGTGTCTGTTTTTATACCAGTACCATGCTGTTTTGAATACTGTAACATTGTAGTATAATTTGAAATCAGAAAGTGTGATGCCTCCAGCTTTACTCTTCTTGCTCAAGATCGCTTTGGCTATTCAGGATCTAATTGTGGTTTCATATGAACGTTTGGGTTGTTTATTCCATTTCTGTGATTAATAAACTTTTGGAATTTTAAGATGGACCTGTATATCACTTTTCATAGTTGGATAGTAAGGTAGTGTGTTTGGTAGGAAGCCCTAGTCTAAAATGTATTCTTCTAGCAATTATGTAGGTTTTCATGGTGAAATTTTATGTACTGACTTTACCTTGCATTTTTTTTTTTTTTTTTTTTTGAGTAGGGGGTTTCACTCCATCGCCCAGGCTGGAGTATAGTGGCACAACCAGAGCTCACCACAGCCTTAACCTCCTGGACTCAGGCAATCCTTCCACCCCAACCTCCCAAGTAGCCAAGACTATAGGTGTGTGCCACTATGCCCAGCAATTTTTTTTTTTGTAGAAATGAGGTTCTTGCTATGTTGTCCAGACTGGTCTTCAACTCCTGGGTTCAAGCAATCCTCCCACCTTGGCCTCCCAAAGTGTTGGGACTTCAGGTGTGAGCTACCAAACCCTGCCCTTTGCATTCATCTTGTTAACCAATTCTTTTTGTCCCTTCATCCTAATTTCTTTATGCATTTAAAAATACTTATCCTGTTATATGAATGTATGCAAGCCACCCCAAATGCCATTAGGAAGAATATGAAAATCTGAGTGGAAATTAAGTGTATTTTAAATGGTATTTACTACCATGCTGCGAAGATTTCCAGTTATGCATGTGCGCTTTACTCTCTAAGTAGAAGACGAGACTCTTCAGCGCCTCAGCACCTCTCCTAGGATCCTGAGGCCTTCCCACTGGCTGGCCTGGCAGAGCAGCAGGCTCCACACCTGGCTGTGTGGCCCCTGCTCCCTGGGCCTGGGAATTGCCTCAAGTATCTGCTTGGTAGGGTGTGGGTTACTTCTGATTGGTCTTCACTTGTTCCTCTCCTGCTCTACACTCACCCCTCCTTCCTGACTCTAAGAAGTAGTGGTTTTTAAAGGTTGAATTTCTGTGCTTTTTTTTTACACTGGTTGTGCTAATAGAGAAGCAGACCCTTAAGTGCTTCTGAAAGTAGAGCTAAAATGAAAAATCCCTAGGTCTTCTGCAGTAGGTGGGAATCCTGTACTTTCCAAGGAAACTATGGATGTGGCTGGGC